ATCGAGCGCGTTCGACGCTCTGATTGGCCGGCTCAAGTGAACCAACCAATCAAAACGCTTAACTCTCTCGATACTGTTACGATACGAATGCGATAGTTATTCGTGCTTGGCACTCAGTACCAAAAAATTAACTATATAGAAAAGTAAAAAACCCATCAGAACATATTCTATTGTTAAAATAATTGAAGGACATAAGCACTGATCTATCCGCGTTTGATAAATACGATTGATGCCCTAAAGTTCGATATGAAAACTAATAATATTCACGTTTGGATTGAATTCGGCGCATGGGCGTGATTCGGTCGACCCTCGGAGTCCGTCTGGCTAATCTAGCAGAGGGTCTGAACACAGTACATGGCAAATAAACAGATTCCGATAACAAGCGAATTCATACAATAATTCCATTCATGATTAGTTAAAATTTGGAGTTTTTATCATATTTTGATTTTATTTATCTAATGATACCTATATGATACTCCATTTTTATGACAATAGCGTCATACACAACATAAATATTATAAGTTGTAAGTTATAAAGTAAAAACATGTTAGTGAATTAAATACGATGCATGCTAAACAGTGAATACTAACCTGAATTTTACTTTCTTTTCGGTAAATTGGTACCTATCGCATCGCATTGCTAACAATGTAAAGTTAATAAGTAAATGCAATATTTTTATAAGTAGGTAAATATTCGTGCGGTTTTAAGGCACGTAGACACCTCCTGAGTAAATAGTGTCAAACAATAATAATATATTTACTTAACCACAGAAAGGTACGAATACAAACTTCGTTAAAGAAAAAACATTTCGCTTCTTACATTTTTACCAGTACTAGGGTAAAAAGTTCCACTCAAATTCTTTTTCATGGTCAATTTAAAATATAATACAGTTGTCGGCATCGAATAGGCCCTTGCAAATCTAATTTGCGCCTCTTTGCGCTCATAATAGAGGGCAGGCACTATACACTTACGAAGGCCAACTTTTAAGAGATGGAACTTTGACCTCTTTTAATGTCGTACGCGAAATTGGCGACTATGAAGTACAGGTGCCAGTACCCGAATGAAAAACCTACTAATGGATTTTCAAATTTGAATACTAGCGTCATTATAAGCATTTTGCAAATAGGAAATTTTCCTAAAGGTGCATACGTAATAACCGATATTCTTTTAATTAGCTATGTAATGTTAATAATTTTGTTATTTATTTGTTTGATGACCATAGGTGGGCGGAAGACATAAAGTCAGTGCATCAATAATTATCTATCTATTTATTTTAAAAAAAGGTAGTCCTATGCAGAGATTCTCCTTAAACGCTACTCAATTTTAATTCAATTCAATCCTCCGATACTCAATCGCTACTCAATTTTAATTGAATTCAATTTTAAGTATAATTTTGTCACTACATCTTCTTTGTAAAATCACAGAATTGAAATCTAGTAGCCTTTCAGTATTCGGGTCCTAGATCTGGAACAGTAATTGGTGGATCACAAAGAATTATCGCCAACTGCAGAATTGCTAATTGTGTGTTCATAATCAATTGCGTATTAATAAGTACTTTTAATCAGGAATTATTATCTTAGAATTATAGATACCCACTTACCCAGGCTTATAATACCTTCACGGGCCTGCGGAACCAGAACCAGACCCGAGCGTACGGCGCGTCGTGTTCTGTGCATGTCTTAAAGAGCCATCAGACCATCACTGATGGGACCCAATAGGGTTGATGCTGATATGGAACCGTAGACGACTTAAAGGGTTGCCGGGGCTCCGGCTCGAAGTGCAGGACTTGGAACGGTGTGGTTTTTAGTCAGTAAGAGTCTGACACTCCTTCTCGCCTCACCCGGGCCAGAGAAGTAATTGGATGATGTTCCCCCCTCTAAAAAAATAGGCTAATAATACCTTTGCCACATCAAGAGTTCAAAGTTCAAGTATGTTATGTTACAAATATCTTCAATATACAACAATAGGTACCTAGCTATGCTGTTTTAGATGTTTTTTCCTCAAATGCTACGTTTAAGATTATATAGACGTACCTACTTTTTAGGGTTCCGTACCTCAAAAGGAAAAAACGGAACCCTTATAGGATCACTTTGTTGTCCGTCTGTCCGTCCGTCCGTCCGTCCGTCCGTCCGTCTGTCAAGACTCTTTTTTTCAGGAACGCGTGGAGGTATGAAGCTGAAATTTATATCAATTACTCAAGTCTACTGTCCCTTGAAGCTGTGAAAAAATCAAACTTCTAAGCCAACGCAATCAAAAGATACAGCCGTTTATGCCGCAAATTTTCGACACTTGCAAGGGAATCAAAACCTACAGGGTGCTTCCCGTGAACTCAGAATCTTGAAATTTGGTACGAAGCAACGTCTTATAGCATAGATAAAGGAAAAATTACGAAAACCATAAATTTTTAGTTACATCACATAATATATATTTTTTTAATAATTTTAAACTTACTACCCATTTCCTCATAAACGCGTAGAGGTATTAAATTGAAATTCATACCAAATACTCAGGTCTATAATACCTTTAAGCTGTAACAAAATCAAACTTCTATGTCAACGCAATCAAAAGAAACAGCAATTTAAGCTGCATATTTTGAAACTCGCAAGTACTCGCAAGGGAATCAAAACCTAAAGGGTACTTCCAGTCGACCTAGAATCTTGAAATTTGGCATGAAGCAACGTTTTATAGCACACATAAAGGAAAAATTCCGAAAACCTTAAATTTTTAGTTACATTACAAAATATGTCGTAATGAACGAACTTTGTAAACCTGCCGTGAACTCAGAATCTTGAAATTTGGCATGAAGCAACGTTTTATAGCACACATAAAGGAAAAATTCCGAAAACCTTAAATTTTTAGTTACATTAAACTGTCAAACACCAAGCGGTCACCGGTGACCGCAACCTATTGTTCTATAATTGTGTCTACAAAACCGGTACTCGACGAGTTAAACCTTGCAGGTTTGTACGGAACCCTCGGTGCGCGAGTCCGACTCGCACTTGGCCGGTTTTTTTTTATTATAAGTATAGAAACATTGTCAATCGGGATTTCCAACAATATCATAGCGAACTTCCCAGCTGTATATTTCATACATACAGGATGTTTCATGCGTAGGTAAAGTCTGAATAACTTTACTCAATTTGAATTTATTTTCAAGTGAATAGGTTGCTTACATACAGATAGGCGTCTACCTTCGTCGGTCACATCATAGGTACCCGCTAGAACTAGGCGAGTTAGTGGTCAAACGCTGACCAAGTTAAAAAAAATATATAGGTAAATGATGTAAATAAATATAAGACCCTCACTGACCTAAATATTATTATTAAGTCCTAAATATAGAAGATAATATTAGTCTTAAGCTTTATGCACACATACACCAAGGCATAGTTTTCAAAAGATCACTTATTAGACGCGCGATGTTTCTGAAAATATCATAGATAACAAAATAATGCATAGTTCTATTTCTGAAAATCAAAATCACCTGAGTAACTAGGTGTACTCAAGCCACAAGGCTATAATAACTACGTATTATTTGATATCCTAAATTAATTTACATATTAAAATTTAAAGATACTACTAAATGCTCTTTACTAAATTATACAAAATAGAGGTGATATTCGCTCATTAACTATTCTTTATTCTGAACACATTGGTAAAGTACTCGTACATAATTTTTACTTTAAGTAGGTACTCGTCGCGTTACTAGTCATGTCCATGAGTTCATTGACTTCAATTTGGGGCTGGCATTAGCTGTTTTAGGGACCTGTAAATTATTAAATATAGTGTTTGGCATATATTACTTACCTATATGGATTATATCTGTTTGGTTTTAAGTCTTTGTAAATACCTCTTTGTTTAGTGAATCATTGGTTTAGTAGGTTTACGACGTTTTTGCATTCTCTCTATTTATTTATTGCAAATATTTATTTAGGTATCCACCTTTACACATGGGAATGTTCCTACCTATTTTGCATAAGAATTTAAATAGCTTCACAATGTATTTTCAACTTCATCTCATTAGAACTCTGAACACGTACAGAACCTTACAACTAGGACCTACTTACTCTGTTTTACTTTTTTGTAAAAAAAATAACATTATAGTAATCATTGAGCAATTTCTATACTACCAGACTCAATAGGCAAAAAGTGTTGCGAATCAAAAGCACGTGATCGAATTTGTAGCAACAAAATAATTACATGCTGTGAGATAAAATTAGTGATTCAAATATATATACATATATAGTATTTGTCCTCTTCCAGTTAGTTATATAATGAGGTTAATGTCGGTTCACGATACGCATTGAACTTGTATCTTCATAGTGTCCGTCAGTGAGTAAATTAATTAGAGTGGGTCGCCTCAATATATCGTGTGCTCTAATATTTTTTACCAAAAATGTTTCGTAAATATATATTTGTTTTTACTGTGGTGTTTCAAATATGTTTAAGTTATAGTGCTGTGGTTAAGGTAAGGAATTTTATACGACATTTCTTTTTTTCTTGATATAATGAATTTTCGATTGATCGTGTTATCGAAGTGTTGATTTAGAGTCTTGGTAAGTCTGAACGAAAAGTCCCTAAAACAAAAGCCAATAGAAAAGAGTCGAATGCTTTTAAATACAATATTTATTTATTCATTCTTCCATAATATGTTTTTTGGAAACTATATCTAATAAACGATAATGATAACCTCGCTTAGTATTGTTCGGAAGATAGAATCGTAACAGTTTTATCTACGAACCATTTATTTATTCATAGCTAACATGATAATTCTCTCGACATAGAAACTTAACTAAACTTATGAAGATGCAAAACGCATCAATATTTTGAAACTTTCTTTGACACTGAAAAATGTAGTAGGAAGACTACGAAACTAAGAACACAATTTTTACTTAATTATCTCATACAATTGAGTTTAACTTGACACTCAGTACATATTGTTTTTTAACTACCATTACCATTTTCAAAATAAAAAATGTTTTATATGTCTAAATTAAATAGTATTATAATAGATTATTGTGTGTACCGTGCACTATCAGCTGCTGTACCTAACTAAGTAGGTACCTCTATAACTTTACAACAAGTATAAATAATAAATTTGAGCACTTAATGGCAGTCTCAAGTCTATAGATAAGTCTACATCAAGATGACTCTGGATTTTGCTGTATTATAAATACTTTCGTTTTGATAACAGACGATAAATGCGAAAACTAAAACATCATTGGGGCGCTTGCGTCGTTTAGTCACCAGTTAGTTAGTCGCCGTTGTCTGGCTCGAAGTTGTCGAGGAGCCGCAGTAAAAAATACTCATCCACAGACATGACATTTTGTTTTGATAAAAAAAACGTGTGACTGTGTGACGTTATTTATCTCAAAGAACTTATCGAAATAAATTAAGATTAAATGTCAATAGAACATAAAGTGAACGAAAACAGCGAACTGTGGCCTATTAGTGTAACAAATAAAAATTATCATGGTAAGATCACGGCGTTTTTGTGCATTCATATGTTTTATTATGTAATTTGGTGTGTTCCTGCGTAAATTATTAAGGTGCACTTAATTAGGTACTTATTTAATAAATTAATTTCACTTAATAACCAGCTGCCAGCTAATAGAAGCAAACAATACACTCGTGACACTAACGTGTTCGTTTACGGAGTGTGTTATTATTATTATTATTTATGTCTAAAACCACTCTTGATTGACAATAATAGAACTCTAAAAATAAATTACATATTGTTCGCTTCTGTCCTTACGATTGTATTGTCTTCTTACTAAGCTACATGTATATAAATTTTATGTTTAGATATGAGTTTAAGTATGAAAAATGTTCTCTATTATTTTATTCGTGTACTTTTACTTAATTTACAATAGTGTTCCTATTTGTTTACTCACACTTTAATCCTTTATTATATAAGTCGTTATTTATAAATAGCTTCTGCCAGCGGCTTCGCCCGCATTCTCATAGAATAAAAAGTAGTTAGCCTATGTGTTATTCCAGACCATAATCTACCCCTGTTCCAAATTTCACCTTGATCCCTACAGCCGTTTTGATATGAAGCAGCAACGAAACAAACAAATATACAAACTTTCGTATTCATAATATTATATAATTTTTATTATTTCAGACAAAACGTGTTTGTGTGGTCGGTGCTGGTATAGCAGGGATCTCTGCTGCCAGATATTTGAAGGAAGCAGGGATTGACTTCACGGTCTATGAGTCTACTCAATATGTCGGTGGTACGTGGAGGTTCGACCCTCGAGTGGGTACAGACGAGAACGGTTTACCTCTACACACCAGTATGTACAAAACCTTAAGGTAAGACCCACAACTACATATATTGATCATATTAATTAAACAAGTAATATTTCTAAAACTGTGTAGGGACCTGATATTTGTTTCCTTAATATCTTTTTCAATAACGGCACCAAAAATTTGGAAAACCAATTGCACAGTTGTCATTACTTTATAATTATTGTCAAGTCTAGGACAACGGAATCTTTTTATTGTTAGATCATAATAATCACTAAATGAACATACTTACAATTACAACCCCTCCCCTACAATAGATCAAGGACCTTTTCGCGGTTTGGTGCATTTACAAAGAACGATATGGAGACTTTTATCAAGCATCAAATGGTTAGTGCTTATTCATGGTCCATAATAAAAAATAATGTGATGTTTATAACATCCACTGCCTTTATAATGATACCTGTTTAATAATATTATCAATCAAAATAAGCCAAACACTTGAACAATACCGTGTTGATTTGCTTCTTACCAAAACAAACAGATGGCGCGCTATCAAGTTTGCACAGTCATTAAGTTAGTGGCTTCTAGAACGCGGTGTGTTTCAAATAATAAGATAATGTGGCGATAAATACTTATATATTATGAGATAATATATTTATATTGTAATGATTCGTTTTAGTTCAGCTACTTACATTGTATGAATTACTTCCAAATGGTTACGTAAAAATGAAATAGCTATAGTTTTGTAAAAATCAAAACATTCAATGTATGTGTGGGGTAGGTATGTGATCTAATCGCCTCTAATAATAAATTATTTACGTAAGTCTCGCAATGCCAGTGGATAATTTTCTTGAACAGTTGAAATGACATGTAGCTTATTAAAATACATATGAAATGTACCTGCCTCCTGTTTATCCGAAAGGGTCCCATTGTGTACCTAGCTGAAAATAACTGGAAAAAAATAGCAATAGCAAATTTTAAAGCATCAGTACTTACAAAATAGTCAATATACCATTGCTTCCTATTAAGAAGTAGAACTCTAAAAGGACACACTGTATTGGAGGCCAATAGAATCTAGTCTACGTCGCTCAAGCAGGTTAACGTTGTCGGATAAAGTAATTTAAATATAAACCCTTGGACTGTTAACAGGCTATTGTTGAAGGCAAATCGTCTGTCAACTCCGGTAAATTTTGTCCCCAAAGCGTCTCTTTAGCGTATTAAAAAAAATAAACCAACTACTTACTCTTGTTTCAGAACAAATCTACCTAAACCTACAATGGAACTCAAAGGGTTTCCGTTACCTGAACACCTTCCATCATTCCCCAGTTGGCGAGACTACTACCAGTACTTGCAAGATTATTCTAAACACTTCAATATACTCGATCATATAAAGGTGATTTATTGTAGCTAATTACAATTAAAAATTAACATTTCACGATTGCTATAAAATACCATACGTTACTATTGACCTCTAATACGTAGACAAACATCATCACCATCCTATCACGAATATACAGCCCAGATCTTAGTCTAGTCACCTACTTAGTCTTACAGAAACTGCTTCATCCTTAATAGTTTCTAGTACTATAACTTTCGTGAGACATACTAAATTAATTATTATATGGTTTTAACTTAACTCACGTAATTATTAGATGAGTAATTTGAATAGTTTTAAGCCATGCTAGATACTCATATTATGCGAAATGCTGCTCATGACTATGAGCCTCTAGCATGGCTTGAAATTTGTTGAGTTTCTCGTCAAATAATTACGCGAGTAAGTCGAAAAACATAGTAATTCATTTAGTTTCTAACAGGTTCCTGATAAAAATTGCCGTATGTTTTACATACATTTTTAAAGCAGGACAATAAAGTGTGTTTTCTGCACAATTGCAGTTCCTACACAATGTACTCCTAATTAGAAGAGTTGGAGACGTGTGGCGAGTCAAACATCAACACGTTCAAACAAACGAAACGTTTGAAGATGAATACGATTATATTATCATAGGAAACGGACATTTCAGCAAACCAAATATGCCTAATATACCTGGAGAAGACCGTTTTAAAGGTAACTTTATTAGTTTAATATCTGCTCCACAGGGTCCCAAATTCAGTTTAATTTAATGATAAAAACAACCTTCTCTTTAATAGAAATAACTATAGACGCACGTATCTAAAGAAAAGTTATGTGCTTCCGTTAAAGAGAAATATTAAACGATTCATTAGTTTCAAACAGGAAAACATGCCATTCATTAATCACTGTCAATACTCTATTTAGATACCACTGATTTACTGATCGAAAAATTAATTGCACTGTCTAAGAATCTCCTTCAAACTACTAATCAGACAACTATAACCAAATCTTCTTTTACAGGCAAAATAATTCACAGCCACGACTATAAAGAGCCAGAACCGTTTAGAAACCGCCGCGTCCTAATTGTTGGCGCTGGTCCCTCTGGCATGGACATTGGTCTCGATGTGGCCGAAGTTTCAAAGACCTTAGTGCATAGTCATCACTCCAAGATTAACTTTAGCACGCCATTCCCCCCACACTACCATAAAAAACCTGATATCCAGGAGTTTAATGAAACTGGTGCCATATTCAAAGATGGGAGCTATGAAGAAATTGATGATGTCATTTATTGTACAGGTTAGTAAATCAGACAAAAAAAGAAAAAATATCAGAAGTCTAACACTCCTCTCTCCATATAATATCCCTTTTTGACGAAAGTTTCTTTTGGGAACACCCCTTACAATTTCAGTTCAAATCACTGAATTCATCAAATTAAATCACTTTAATACATTTATAGTGTACAAGGTGGTCTACAAGAAGGGCCAATAAAATTCCCAATCTCACCAATCCCTGAATCCCCAACAATCGTCAAATTCCTTATCAGGCCGGTAACGCATTTGTAACACCTCTGGTGTTCCGGGTGTTCGAAGGCGACGCTGATTACTTACTATTAGGTGATCCGTCTACTCGTTTATCGGTTTATCCCATAAAAATATCTTGTCTTGCGTACAATGAAATAGCTTTCAACTTTTGTGATTCGTTTTGACCGATTTCGTAAATTTATCTTCTCTATAAAGTGAACTACCCAATCCTTCTATACTTGCCTGCTAACATATTAAAGCGTAATCCGATCTTCAGGTTTCCAGTACGACATTCCATTCTTAGACGAGTCGAGTGGCCTGACTTTAAGTCCTAAAAGCATAGTACCTCTGTATCGGTACATGGTGAACATCAACCAGCCTTCTATGATCCTCATGGGACTAATCGTCAGAGCGTGTTTGGTCGTCGCTTTGGACGCTCAGGTAGACTATTACTTACTCTCAGTTTTAAGTTAAGGGTTAATATTGATTAAGCCGTACCATCATGAGTGACGTAGTTTCATCTACTATATCTAGATTAATGACTAAATTGCCAATTCTTGTCATAACAAGTTTTTAACCGAGAAAAAGCAGTAAATAAGATACAGCTTCGTTAAAAAGCAAGCATACAATTTAGCTACTCTATACATTGATTACTGTCGCGAAAAATCTAACGGGTTACCGGGGCTCCGGCTCGACGTGCAGGAGTAGAAACGGGGTGGTTTCTAGTCAGTAAGAGTCCGACACTCCCTCCCGCCTCACCCAGGCGGGAGCAGTCTTTCGATGATTTTCCCCCCTTAAAAAAATGCATCGATCACTGAATCAATTTTTTTTCTTACCTGAATACCATTCAATTGGCAGTCGGCCAAATTATTTGATTTTCTATATTTCCTCAAATTCAGTGAGATTTTATAAATTCTTGTTGATTTTGGACAAGAAAGTTTTAGTAATTGATGAGTATTGATCACGCCTTTCACGCGTTACGGTACGGCACTTAATGTCACTGTACAATATAATAACACCCACTTTTCACTAATTATATTATGAATCCAACCTACCGGGCAAAATTCCAGACTCCGTGCTACTACCGAGATTAAAAAAAAAACCCAGTAATATTTTGCCCGACTCAGGAATCGAACTCGAGACACCTTGCCCGGCAGTCGCACTTGAGACTCGACAAATCGATCTTTCGATGATTACCTACATACGTAGGTTTTAATAGAAAACCTCCTGACTTCCAGGCACGTTACGCGACCGCCCTGGTGAAAGGAAACTTCACTCTCCCACCACATGAAGAGATGATGCAGGAGTGGCAGAAGAGAATGAACGCTATCCGCTCTAAGGGACTCCCGTCTTCATACATACACATTCTTGCTGAGAAAGAGGTCAGTTGCAGATTTCTATAATATATACCGTACTTAGGTACTTGGCGTTCTTTAGCCATTTACGAGTTTTTAACGCATTTTATTAGCTTTAAATTGTAAAGAAAGAGAGTTGTCTCTAAGTATCAACTTAACTCTATGTACTAACTTCCACTGTTGAACAGTTGAACAAATGCCATTTACTGATGTCATTGTTTATTGGCTGAAATGATGATGATGACGCAAAAGTAATAAATTACTTAATAATTTCAGGATCAATACTACGCTGAGCTTTCAGAAGAATCCGGTATCCAGCGTGTACCGCCTGTAATGTTCAAGATACGAACCCAGGACATGCAAGCAAAGTTGGATAATTTGTATACATACAGAAACTACGTGTATACTGTCATTGATGACGAGAACTTTGTGAGACATGAAGAGGAGCCGGCAGTTAGAAGAGGGCTAACTCTATAGTACGTTAATATAAATTAATTTTACAAGATTAAAGCATAGTAAAGTTAATATAGGTAAAGCTTAGGCCCAACACTCCCATCCTCAAGTTCCAAAACGGTCGACAATGTACTTTTTTTTAATTTCTCAAAACCCAAGCAACTCCTGTATGCTGCGATCTGCGGTAGATACAAACATGAAAACACCGGGACACTGAAGCGCGTCGCGTCCTAGGGACATGAATAACAGGAGAAGAAAAAACGAGTTAGTTGTTACTGTGTCAGTGGTGTTGCGGATATCCATGGACGGCGCCGATTGCTTACCATCAGGTGATCCGTATGCTCGTTTACCGCCTTATCCCATAAAAAAAATGATTAACATATTTTAAGCTACGTAATTAATTATAATGTTTTCGACTTACTCGCGTAACTGTTTAACGAGGAACTCGACTAGTTTCAAGCCACGCTAGAGGCTCATATTCATGAGCAGCATTCTGCGACCCGCAACGCCCGCGTCTGTCGCGCTGCTGTTGAGCCTATAACAAATAGTCAAACAGTTACGTGAGTAACTCAAAAACATAATGATTAATTCAGTATGTCTAACGAAAGTTTTAATATAAACAAAGCTACGTAATGTCAAAGGTAAGCTTTGAAATGTACTTACACGTGCCATAATATAAGACACAGTTTTTAAAGTAATATAAGCAGTAATTGTAATAAAAGATAGAAGAGATTCATATTTTTAAGATTATTCCACGATAAATATTATGATTACTGTTAGTATTGTATGTGAAAATACATAGAAGTGCACTTAATTTACAAACAATGTACAAATGAATTAATTAATAATTTATTTCTTTTATAAAATAATTAAATGCAAAGGACAATCGTTTTGTGTTTCTTGTTTTCTTTTATGTATCCACATTGTTCAGAAAATTTGCTACCTTAGCCAAGTTGACTATTTACAATTACCTATTTCAAATATTTTTACACCATAGCAAAAAAACGATGATACTACACATTTGCTTCATTTTCTATACCTCACGCTGCTAATTAATACTGCTAATTAAGCGCTAAAGTGGCGTTTGGCTAAAGGCACTGGTCTAGTATCAAAAGATTCAAGTGACGAATGTCAAATCTTTATTTTCAACAAAGTAAGCAATAATAATGATAATAACTAAAACCAACAAAAATGGAATAAGTAGTTTATTTGTACTTATAAATTAATAATAAATCCTTACATAACAATTGTTATAATTGGTAACAATCAATTAAAAGATTACAAAAAATACTGTATTAATAAAAGTCAGTGTGTTTAAAATATCTACCTAAAATCAATATAGGCAAGATATATTTTTATTCGTCAATAAAGCCATTCATGTCCCAACATTCATGCTTTACGTTTTAATAATCTCATTTCGAATTCAACCTTGTGGCGAACGCATTAAGGTCTTGTGAAGACTTGTACTCATTTTGGTCAATATTAAAATTTAAACTAATCTCACATTTCTTTACGCTATTGTTCTTAATTTATACTTCGATGGGACATGGGAGTTCCTTCCTGGGCATGTACGTCCTTTCATAGTTCTGTGAGTCAACGAGCTTGTAGTCATAATCTCTGTAGTTAAGCAAGTCATCTAAACGGTTCTTTCCATTGAATTTAGCAATTTTTGTCAACACAGTCGGTGCTGGTATCACGTCTGCTTCAGCGGTCAGGTTTCCAAAATATTCATCCTAGAAAAAGAAAAATGTGTAAAATAAAGTAGGTACGTAGTGTTCTACGAATTTGATAAAAAAAAATGGATAAAAATAAAAATAATGTTCTTGATTATTACAACAACAATTTAAAGAATCTCACCATATTGCTGACCACATTGACGTCCACGATCCGCTTGCCCATGTTCTGCTGCTCATACACGTGGTTCAGCCAGCTCTTCAGCATGGCTTCCTGAGGGGGCAGCTCAAACTTACCAGCTGCTAGAGCTGCTACATACTGGCCCTGTAATGGAAAGAAGGCCCACAAATTTAGCCGAAAATTCTAAAAATGATTATACATTCTTATTGTGTCGTACTTGGCACTTATTCTTTTTGTATAAAATTATTTTCAGTATAGTATCGAAGCAAATGAAGATTGAATCTCACTTGTTTTACTCTTTCAGCAGAACACAGTTATGATGCTGCGCTTGTAGTTAGTAATTTCTATATACGAATCTAATATTAGTATGTCTCACGATAGTTATTATAAGAATCTAATATTTATACAGTATGTTAGGTTAAACGAGGGACATATTCAAACCCATAATAGTGTATACTCACATGAACCTAACAAAACATATAAACGAAACGAAAACACTAATAAATAACAGACAGCACCATAAAAACGCTTCCGCTTACGCTTACGGGTTTCGGCTTAGCGGGCTTAAGCGCGCTCTATTCTTTTTGGCAAGATAGGCGCATGATTTGCAACGCGAGTTACTTTATGTAAGTACTGTTTCTGTTTACAAGTTCACTTGTTGCGTGCTCAGTGTTCATGATGATGTATTTTATTAGACAATTACCTCAAAAATTTTGGTTATAGGTTTTTGACATATTCGGGACGAGAATCGAATACTGAATACCCTCCCTCAATAAGTCCCTCGTTTAACCTAACACACTGTATATTTCGACCCATGACATAATCTTTTACTTTTGGCAAAGTCTTACCTGAGCATCCATAACTCTATTGATGACTTTCTTCGAGACTCCAACGAAGGCCATGCTGGGGCGTTTGATGTTCACAGTATGCCTGTACAGAGGTAGCACGAACTTCTGCGACGCTGTCACGCCTGAGCTCTGGTCGAGGAATGGATGTGCGTAATTGTAACCTGAAATATTAACATTTTACTTAATGAATGATACGTATTTTCAGTTTTGTATAACTTTTCAATTCTACATACATCAAAAGAACGAAGAAAATGTTTTTATCATGAAAACAAATTTAAGAGTCGTAGTTTTAGGACTTCACGAGTTATAGATACATTTATAAAAACTCCTAAGGTAAGGTAGGAAAATTAGTAAGTCTGTATTAAATAATTTATCTACAATATAAACCATTTTTATAATTAACATTAAGTTAAATACCTGTGCAGAATATGACTTGATCAAAGTCTTCAGTGGAACCGTCAACGAAGACAGCGCCAGTAGGAGTAAAGGAATCGATGTCTGGTTTCTTCACGTAGGTTGGAGAGAAATCTGGCTGGTTGTAGTTGAGATGGTGACTGTGGAACAACTTCTCAGTCACATTTGACAGTTGTATCGCAAGGTCCAGCCCCGAAGCACCAGCGCCGACGAGGAGCACTCTGCGGCCTCGGAAGTCTTCGGAGTCTTTGTAATCATGGCTGTGCATTATTTTTCCTGGAAATGTATTATTTTATATTTAATTTTTAACAATAAAATTTTATTAATCGGTTTGTAAACCCAACCCACGCCCACCCATATTATAAATTAAACGTTACCTTCAACGACTACAACATTTTGTAGTCAAAAGGTAAGGAGGTATAGTACATATACAATTTAAAGTTATGGGGTTTAAAATTGAAATAAAATACGAAACACAAGAGAAATCCTTGAACAAAGCTGCCGCAAAACGTGACTGACAAACACAACAAGCTTGCAAAGTACAGGAAAACATGAGTACCTTTGCAAAAAAGTACAATTACTTTATTATCTGACATATTAGTTTTGCTGGGGTTATTACCGCCAGGCATGTATAAAAACACACAATAGGAGGCCAGATATGTTGAAGGAGGCTACGCTAACCACGATGTTTAATCGTGACCTGATTGATTAAAAAACGTTTTTTAACTCAAATTGAATAATTTCGCGAAATAGTCATTACCAATTAACTACCTGAGGCTAAATTGAATATGTTTTTTTAAAGCGAACTTATCGGAGTGACTTAAGGAGTCAAGTTTAAACATGACACCTTAAATGGTCGAACTTTTTAAAATTCTTCTCCCACTTTTTTTCTATTAAGTGCGTTACTTAGCTAACCCAGCTCTATACCTACTTACATAGATGCCTACTATGAGGGATTTTAAAAGTGTAAGACTTCAATATTTACAGCCAACACCGTAGATAAAGACAATAACATTTGGAATCTAAATTACCTTTGTACATGTTCATCCTTTCGATGTCTGGTATGACGGGGCTGCTGAACTCTCCGCTGGCGACCACCACGAAGTTGCATACCTCAGTCACTTTCTCCTTCGTGTCTATCTTTGTGTACGTCACCTCCCAATGGTCATTCGCCCATCTTACTAGTGTCACCAGACTCTGTAACTACAAATAAAATTCTATTTAGCGACAGACACAGATAAATTCTTATCGAAGGTATGAGCACAGAACAATTTCAAATTCAATTGATACTTGCAAATATTCCGATTTTTCTAGTTGACTAAGAACAACCCATCATCGGAACATCTCCAACTACATTTAGAAAAAATAATTATAAAAAGGTTGTAATCGGCGCTAGCAATTTGTGTAGGTCCTACCTAAATTGTAGCTGATTTTAATTAATAAACACACATGTATACAGCATTCCTAAGTATCCTTGATGGGTATATAGTATGTACCATATGCACCTGAAGACAGAGATTGTAAACTTAGAACTACCTCTATATTTATTGACGAAATCTACCAACAATAAATAATGTTAAGTATGTAAAGTAAGAATAAATACCATAGCACAGGATTTATTTTGATACTCATAACTAATATCTAGTATCATATTTCGTATGTAGGTACATTAAAAAATGTTGACCACCAACACTTCGGGATAACAATCCCACGTTCCCTTAGTATTCATCCAACATGTTCCACCATATCTATGAAAACCAATGAATTATGCATGTCCAGCTTGCTCCATGGTGTGAACGATAAATAACAATAAAACCATTTAATGCAGGTTTTCTTGTCACGTCATCATGGCAATTGGCAATGAACAAAATTATTTATAGTACCTACCTTTACAGCTATAGAATACCTGCAGGTACATCCTGATTCAATTCCATGGGTTTATTTATGGGCACAGGTCTATTTACCTACTTCCTACCTGGTTCATCTAGTGATAGCAAGCGCAAATGCAACTTGTGATATACACATTGTTTGAGATTATTAAATGCTCCTGAGTTGGGTATTATCCAGGGTATCAAAACTAAAAATCTAAAATGAAAAAATATTAGACATGTATTTTTTTATTTTGTCGTATTAAGATACAATACTTGGATAAAATGGCACTAAGTTTAGGAGTGGGAGGTCGTTACGTCATAACGTGCTACAAAATGTGGCACGCTGTGACGTCACACGATATCTCAAATTAATATATCGTCAAAAGTATTTAATTTTGTGAGAAAGGAAAAAATACGAGTCTAAAGTTTTACATTAATGTACCAGTCGGACATTAAAATAAAATTTAGGAAACTACCCTATTATTTATATTGTTTAATATAAAAATTGGGTACTTGCCTTAATCATAAATAAATTATTTCGACTATTAACTACAATAAAAAATAATCACACATTTTACTACTAATAATTTTACTGAAAGCAAATTTTTAAGAAATTATTTGTCTGACGCTAATAAAACGTGACGTCACAATACACAATCTCGTACAAAATTCCAAAACTATCGTTTTTGACAGTTCGAAACAAGTATTGGATTTGACTAGTTGGCAAGTACCCCATTCTTGCCGGTGGGTACCCGTACATACATATATTATGTATAAGTTGGCCTGTTAAAATTAATCTCTAAAATATAATTTTTTAATTGAAAAACTTAAGAGTAGAAATAGAATACAGTAATTAAGTAACGTGTTTATGGGTTTATTTTATTATATCATTCATATTTACTATTTACCTACACAATCTACCCAACCCAGTTTCATTAATTACTGTCGCGCAAGTACCTACAGCTTGAAACTTTTTATTACAAAAGATTCAGAAAAAACTATGACGCTTGTGGGAATTTCATACTTGTCTGTTTTTCATTGTCTAGTGTTTGCTAATCAAATGTAATGTATTGTATAATAGAAACAAGTATGTTGTAGCGATTCTAACATTAATTACCGTACTAACCCACTTAATTTTAAGAGGATTTAAAGAAAAAAACATAAAGTACACAAAACTACAATTACTGAAACTTTAGATATAAAGTAAGTAACAGCAATCAATGAAATCCTTCCTACACTTATTTTACAATTTAATTATCGTGTCGTAGTTAAAGTACTTAAATGAATTAAATATAGGTAGTCGCATGTATTATTTTTACGTACGCTACTCATGAATAACAATCCCAATGTGACGTGAAACTGGTAGAGGTGTTCTCGCAATGCCACATGAGTAAGCTCTAAAATGCAAAGCATGGTAAAGAAACTGTACTTTAAACATGTTATCTAAGTTAAAGTAAGAGTAGGCATCACTTAGGTCTCACTTGACCGTTATAAAGCTGGATTTATTCACACCGTTCAAGTTATGCAAGCCTCTGACATTAGTTAACCAACCTAAGATTTCACTTAGTTCTACATGCACTTCGTAAGTTCACACTTGACACTGTTTGACGCAGGGAGCGATTTCGATTGCGGTTTTACGACTTCGATTCTCACACAAATATTTGTGCGACCTACACTTTTAATACAATGCTTATGTAAGTAAGTCTTTGTTACATCGACAGCTATTAGCATCATACAGACAATTATTAATAGGGTCAATAATTTTAATGGATTTTATCGATACCTACTTGAAATTTCAGAATCTGCACTAATTGTACCAATATTTCTGCTCATCGTCCATGTGAAAGGTAAGCTATCAGACAAAGACAATTAATTAAATAACTTGAAATAATTAATGTTTGAAATTTAATTTAAATCTTTCAAAAGAATGGACGTAGTCACAGATTACTTAATAGTTACTACGTAGTCTAGACTTAAGTTTAAAAATCGTATTGGAAGCATTCGCAACCTATAGCTTAAGCAATAATTATGTAAAATTAAAAGTAAAATTAATATAAGTATATTTAAACCGCAAATTAATTAATCACTTATTATAAAAATATTTTGGTCAAAAACAAGGTAATCTAACTAAGAAAACTAGTTAAAATAAATAAAAAGCTGGCTCAACTATGTACATAAAGGTTGAATTTCATAAGGAGGTCTTAATGTTATGTATGCAAAACCTGTTCCTATCGAGTGACCCTAATGCCAGCTGAATGGAAATTATTCCCAGCACCTTACAACATTCTCTCAAGTAAAATTACACAATATTAACTAATACGAATTCGTAAATAAATTGGCACGACCAAAATAGAACAGATAGGTAACAACTTTTAATATATTTTATTCAAATAGGTACGATAAACCGATACCTAATTTCAATAAAAAAATATGTTATAAAAAGGAATCTGTTTGCTGCTTTAATACGATCGCGATGTTACGTAATGTTATTCTTGTTAAAAAATAAAAATAAATACTTTTTATTTTATGACTCTTTTTATTTTTTAAAATGTTGCGTTTACAAACATACAAGTTCGAATACACATTACACCCAGATCTGGAACAGCAATCTGTGGATCACACAAAGAGTTGTTCCGTGCGGGAATCGAACCCGCGACACGTTGTGCGGCAGTCAGTTTCCCAACCACTGCGCCAATCGTGCAGTCACCGACTGTTTAAAGTTTTTAAGAAAATCCCATTTTTTTAAGATTTTTTTTAATGACACTATATATATCTACATAGATAGTGTCATTAAAAATTCAGTAAATTCAAAACAGTTATCAAACAAGCTCTATTTATATGATTTTGTAGCAAATGATACTGGCAGTTGATGCTTTAATTTTGCTTAGAGCTTCCATTGTCTTTCGAATAAACATACCACATTTTACTAGAAAATCATATAAAACTAAAATACTAATACTGTCATTCATATCTACTTACTTGTATATTATCCAGTAATCCGAAATGTTTAGCGAAGTGCTGCAGGTACTTGTAGAAGCAGGGTCCCGTTGGATACGAGGGCGTCTCCTCAGGGAACGGGAACCCGGAGTACTCCATCGTCTGGCGCGGAGTATTTGTTCTGAAACATATATTGTGCACTTAGCCCTGTTGTCGAATAAATAACATATGTTTTGCAATAAAAAGATAATATAGTGTGGGTTTATTTGTGTGCATTAAATAGTTTTTACATGATTGCTTTTAGGCTTTGTTTTTTGCACTATTTTTCCTGAGTACCGAAAAACGACTTTAGAATTAGAAAAATGCCATTTATGGTGTTTATATAACTTCTTTTGCACCAATTTATACGTATGTAGTGCTTATTAAAGACTTACTTACGTAAGTACCTAATTGATAAATAGGTACAGGTACCTAGATGTATAATTAAAAAAATATTATAATACAATGAACTGCTTCATTGGCCGAGTGGTCGCAAGTGCGACTGCCCGCCCTGAGGACACGGTGGAACACACAGTGGGAGAATGCCCTGCGTGGGCTGAGCACCGCCGTGCCCTCAGGGAAGTGATCGGCGATGGCGACCTCTCGCGTCCGGGCCTAGTGCGGGCCATGATGCGGAGCGAGGGGGATTGGGATGCCGTCTCCTCCTTTTGCGAGGCAGTCATGCTAGCTAAGGAGGAGGCGGGACGCGTGAGGCAGCGAAGCGCTGCCTCCTCGCAACCCAGCCATCGCGAAGGACACACCGGGCGTCGGGGATCGCGGGACGATCTCCGGCCACCAAAAGCGCGGGCCTGCGGACGGCGAGCATGGGTGGCTCCCCGTCCGACCAGAAACAGATCCGAGCGTACGGCACGTCGCGTTCCGCGCGCGCCTCAAAGAGCCATCAGACCACCACAGATAGCGCCAATAGGGCCGATGCCGATTCGGAGTCGCGGAGAACCTAACGGGTAACCGGGGCTCCGGCTCGACGTGCAGGAGAAGGAACGGGGTGGTTTTTAGTCAGTAAGAGTCTGACACTCCCTCCCGCCTCACCCAGGCGGGAGCAGTCATTCGATGATTTTCCCCCCTTAAAAAAAAAAAAAAAAAAGTGCGACTGCCGGGCAAGGGGTCTTGGGTTCAATTTCCGAATCGGGCAAAGTATTACTGGGTTTTTCAAAAAATCTCACAGTAGTAGCACGGAGTCTGGAATTGTGCCCGGTGTATGGCAATAGGCTCACCCCCTATTACATGGGACTCATAACATAAATAGTGAAAAGTGAGTGTTATATTGTACAGTGGCATAATGTACACCTCTGCCTACGTCTTCGGGGATAAAAGGCGTGATGTTATGTTATGTTATTATAATACAAAGCGGGAAAATCTAAAACCTCAAAAACCCAATCAATTTCTATGAAAAACATCTGACAAATGCAGATGTAAATACCTATCAAATCCATACATAAGCCAATAGGCTATTAAAGATTACATTTTACATAATCTTTTCCTTGTAGTCAAATTGTGTCTATTCATAAATAAATTAACAAAGCTAAGGTTATATATGAAGAACGTGCTTTTTGCATGCATATTACTTAGTAACGAATGTCCTCAACTTCTTTCAAGACTACTCATAAATATTTTATAACTTCCAGGTCGATATATAAGCATTCTCATTAAAACCTAACACTTAGAACTTACACAAAAACGGTCCTTGAATTTAATTATGTATTTATGACAGTTTAGTTTGTATCTGACTACAAATTACTTATTAATTTTATTCATATAGCAAACGGTATTTTCCTTTAATAATCATTTTTATGACGTTAATAAAAGATTTCTTCAATGAATATTTATAGAGTTGTGTAGTACCTAATATACCTCTATATAATTGGCTTTCATATCTTTCTTTAGCAAAAGAACTCAAAGGATGCTATTGTTATTAACTATATCATTGTAGCCATTATCATCATCTGAACACAAGACGTCCAATGATGAACTGAGGTCTCCCTTTTAACCTAACTGGAGTTCACTGCAATCCCCACGATGCGATGGTAGACAGGCTTTTACCGTTTCTCGGTGGCTTGTCGCTGTTTTAGTCGCACGTTACAATCACTTCGTTTTTCTTTAATTAGTTTGCAAAAAGAGAGATTTAATAACCATCACAAACAAGACAGTTTTTTCCTCTGAAGATCAATGGAGGTACGTGTTATGACGTCGTTGTAAGAAACTTGATCTTATATTGGTCACAGCCGCTTTATCGCATAATGGACCGGTTTTATTATTTTAAAAGTAAATTATCTAATATCCGCAATTTCTCTCTGGTTGCCAAACATAATGCTATATTTTTTGTACAGTGAGCTTACTGGGACATTCTTTACCAAGGAAAAATATTATATATTTTGTGATTTACAGTCATTTCAAGTAAAGGTATAAGGCATCCCAAAAAGAAGAACAAATTTTTATCTTCAGCCTCCACCTCCAACATATTTTACTTTCATGGCACTTATTTATACCTACTTAATGTGAATTATTGCCAATACCGATCACAATGTAAGACTTTAAAAAATAAACATTTCACATCTCCCAAAAAACTCAGATAGGTCATCGATATTTACCTACACAAAAATAAAATACAAGACGAAGGTTTAATCATTAAGGAAAAAGATCGTAAAATAAACAAGCAAAGGACAGGCAAAACTTACCTCAAGTTTTTGTACATGCTGGTAAAGAGAGGCAATCCATCTTCATCAACTCCAACATGAGGGTCGAATCTCCACGTGCCTCCTATATGTCTAGAAGCTTCGAAGACTGTGAAGTTGAGGCCATATTCTTTCATGTAACGAGCAGTTCCCAAACCTGAGTAGCCCGCACCAATGATACACGCACGGGGCACTGGCGCCGACTGAAAAAGAAATACATTTACTTTATTAATTGTTACTGTTTAATTTATTTATTAGGTTATAATGGTGCTCGGTTATTTTTTGCAATATTTGTTTAAATGTCACTAAATGTGGGAGAGCAATGCTAGGACATGAATGGGCCGACTCGATCGGAGGATACCACGGACTCTTCTGTGAGTCCGTGGTATCGACCGTGAAACATGTCGTATGAGTGAGGTTACCGGAAACCCAATTACCCCTCTCCCGTCTCACTAATCTCCTCAACAAACAATCCTCAAATTTTTAATCCCCAAAAGGCCGGTAAAGCACCAATTGTAACCTTTGGTGTTACAGGTAAAAATAATATAATCATCACCATATCCACTACTGAACATAAGTCCCCCACAACTTCTTGATCGGCCGGTTCGAAGCTGTAGGAAGCTACTTGCATTCCGAAATTAGTTTAAGCTCTTTTGAACTGTTTAATTATGACTCCCAAAAATCTACCTTTCAAATGTCTCCTAAAAACCAAACAACCGTTCAAAACATTCTAATGTTTCTTCTTGTGACTTTTTTGCTTCCATTTCGTTTCGAAAACAAATCTTCGAAATATAAGTGGTTTGGGTGAATAGTAGGTACCTACATATGTTGATTGCGTCAACAGGTTTCAAAACCCAGAGCTAGATAGTTATTAACTTTAACAACCTAGATTTTACCAATATACCTATAACATTAAAAACAACATTGATCGTGGTGTATCACGAATATCTTAAGATTCATGCATAAATTATGTTTTAATGCACTAATTATATCCGATAAGTACTAGTCGCGTACCGGAATCTAACCCGTTATGATTCTGTAACTAGATACTGACTCATTTCATACGTAATCACTTTAATTGTAATATTTTCTTATAAATAAACTGATTGCTATCAGACGCAACTAATGTTGTTGGTCATTCATTATACATATGTACAACTAAAGACAAATGTTATTTTCATATAGGTATACAATAATACCTCGTTGGACGAATGGTCGCAAGTGCGACTGCCGGGCAAGGGGTCTTGGGCTCGATTTCTAGGTCGGAAAAAATACTACTGGATTTTTAAAAAAACATCTCAGTGGCAGCACGGAGTCTGGAATTGTGCCCGGTATACCTATAGTAATAGGCTCACCTATATTTTTTTTTTAAGGGGGGAAAGTCATCGAATGACTGCTTCCGCCTGGGTGAGGCGGGAGGGAGTGTCAGACTCTTACTGACTAAAAACCACCCCGTTCCTTCTCCTGCACGTCGAGCCGGAGCCCCGGTTACCCGTTAGGTTCTCCGCGACAGGCTCATCTATATTAGATGGGGCTTATAACATGCATAGAGAAAAGTGGGTGTTACATTGTACAGTGGCAATAAGTGCCGTTTTGTGCACCTCTGCCTACCCCTTAGGGGATAAAAGGCGTGATATTATGGTGCGTTAAGTTATAATAACTCATTGACTCTATTCATAATTAGCTGTAATAAATTACATATTTAGACCTTGTATTTAATTCATAATGAATTGGAAATGCAAATATGACACTCATCGTAAGATAGACGGAAAAGAGGAAGCTACTAATAATATTATAAATAACTGACTGTCCTTGGGAGCATTTCCATAGTGCATATAGGGAGGGATAGTCGCCGGTTTGTGTTTCCATTACTTTTATATTAAAGTTGTCTAAAGGGCCTCTGCGCAGTTTGCTTCGGCCCCTCGTACCAATGCCTCCCAACGTGGTCTCGTGAATGGTACCTACACACATAATATAAATAATAATGCAAACACTAGCAGAAAATATTAGATGAAAAATAAACTATCAGTTGATAATTACGCAGAAAATTTTACAGGCTGACACTGACTGAACTTAGAATGCAAAAAGAACATTTTTCAAATTGTTCGTAAAATTTCACAGAAGGAGGAGTATTTTTAACATCGTTAAGGGGTAGTACCTATCCAGTACAGGAAAGAAATTAGATCGAAATTAAAAATAACGCACTAACAAATTTAATATTAATTAACACACACGCACGTACCAAAATCCCAATGATGGAACTACAAAGCTGTTTTGATTAGGTACAATAATTCACTTTATTTAAATCTCGACCGCTGGATGACCTCTAATTCATAAGAAAACATCAACAAAACGAGCCAAATGCTTACGTCATATAAATAATTATCCGAACCATCTTCCTGATCCCTCGTCTTCAAGAGAAACAAGCCGAACACTGCAGCCGACACGAACTTGAACACTGTTTTTAATTTTATCCTAATCATCGCACTGTCATCACCACTGTCATTAAGGTCTTAATTCAAATATACAGGAATTATATGGATAATCTCAATAACCTTACGTTATGATACATTTGGCGACAAGAGATAGAATTAATATGGACCTTATGTGTCAGAATTCTATGTCTAGTAACCAAACCTACCAACACATAGATAGGTTATTGACATTGACCGCGTATGTAGATTTGACTACTTTTAAAAATAGAATTTTGACAAGTTTTTTGGAGCCTATGTTAAAATTAAGTCTTCAGTAGAAACACAGCACAAATGATAAACAAGTTATTGATACTGTATGTAAAAGATTTTAAAAAGAAATGTTAGTAGTACTTGTAATCTATCGTACACTGGTGGAAAAACTACAGTTGATAACTTACTATCAAGTTCTATTTCGATTTAAGCACCGTGAGAACGTTTAACGAATTAATTACTACGATAATAAAAGAAACAACGTTTTTATTTGAGGATAACCACATTACTAAGTATAAAACACTGACACTGGCTTTAGTTTGTTTATTTTTTAGAATTCGAATGCCAAATCTTGGTAAAGTTAAAAGGAAAAAGATTTCATCTCGTTTTGAATGTTTATTTACGCGTTCAAGACCACTTCAATGCGCTTCTTCATACTTAATAATCACAAATTACCATTACCCACATGAAACCCGTAAACGGTGAAGCAAATTACGATTTTATGCATTTATTAACTTGACCGTATTACTTGGTGACTTCGTGGAGTGGACACACATTTCACTATTGTTTACAGATGCTTGGGTTTCGTTCCCATCTCAGGTCAAGCAAAGTATGGAATCTTTCAGCTTTCAGTATCGAGTCTAGCTGTCATTGTTTTTTGATTGCACGGTTGGTGCGGTGGCTGGACAACCGGCTGCCGTGCAACGTGTCGCGGGTTCGATTCCCGCACGAACACTTTGTGTGATCCACAAATTGTTGTTTCGGGTCTAGGTGTCATGTGTATGTGAACTTGTATGTTTGTAAACGCACCCACGACACAGGAGATAATCCTAGTGTGGGGCAACGTTTTATAGAAAAAAAAAAAGAAAGGAGCCCAAAAGATGAAAATTATCATATTAAGGATATTCGAAAAAGCTTTGACAATCCGGGATTCCTTGCTGATCCAACTCGGGCCGGTTGCATACCAAACATTTCAAGTACATACGATATTGGATAGTCTTGTACGATCGTTGTGAATGTAGTTTCCTAGTTTTTGTAATTATTAACTACCTACACGGGTCATTATTTTACTTTATGTAGGTACATTATAATAGTTTGAAGACATCTACGTTATGTTAAGTTTTTAATTTTATTATTCTTTCCTTCATTGTTTGTATCAAAAATGATAAACAATGACATAACATACGTACGTAATTATGTATGTACCATTTTCACATTACCTTGAATTTCACGTTCACTTCAAATTAAAACCTTCAGCGGTGTCATGGCATATTGTGTATAATTCGACTGCACGGTTGGTGCGGTGGCTGGGCAACCGGCTGCTGTGCAACGTGTCGCGAGTTCGATTCCCGCCCGGAACAAACACTTTGTGTGATCCACAAATTGTTGTTCCGGGTCTGGGTGTCATGTGTATGTGAACTTGTATGTTTGTAAATGTTTTAGTAAAAAAAATACAATAAATAATTGGTAGGTAGGTACTGCAAGCCGTAGGTAATTTCACGACAATTTAAGTATCTACTTAATATTACTTGTTGCAGGTCACTAAGATCCCTTGAAGGATCAAATTAGAGGATAACATCATATCACTTAACCCACATCCAGGGTCGTTGGTAAAGCCAGTGGATAAATAACCGCGGTCCTATAACTCTGAGCAGGAGTTGTAACGGGAAGGTATTTAGTTCAGTGCTTGTGACCCAGAGTGATCTAAGGTGGAAAAGTCCCTACGTGAAGAAAAGATACCAGCATTTGTATATTAACACAAACTTTTATTTTATGGGAGCAAGCAGAAGCTATAAAGCATCACGTATTCACGAAGCCTCACAACCTTCATATTTCCTTCAAATTCTTAGATCAGCACCTTGGTTAAGAATACTCCAAACCTGACTGTTATGTGACCTCAATGAGATAATAGCGTGCTCATTAGGAATTTCTAATTTCCGTTTGTTTTGTTGACGACTTATGTAATTACGTATTGTTTCAATGTAAAATCATCTGTCTAATCTTGTATTCACGAACCATGGCGTGCTTTAGGCATTTAACCCGATTTTATATTGCATAATAATTGCGTACATGTAGGTAAATACAAGACTATTAAGTCAACGAAAATGTCTGCTTGTTTAATAATATGTGGGACATATATACATACATGCATACATAACATCACGCCTTTTATCCCCGAAGGGGTAGTCTTAACCCGTCGTATGTCTAAACGTGGATCCAGCGAGACACAGTGTATTTTCTATTGTGTCTCATATCGGTGCATTCAAGCAGTTAATGCCACTGTACAATGTACCACCCACTTTTCACTATTTACGTTATGAGTCCCATGTAATAGGGGGTGAGCCTATTGCCATATGTGGGTTTAAATTCCTTTGTAATAACCCGCAGTAAGCTTCGTAAGATATGTGGTTGATGTATGTCAATGCTTAAACGAAACTTCACATCTTCATATTTCTTATGTTTTTCATCAACCTTTCCTAAATTTTAAGCAACCCTTAAGCTATGATAGTAAGGTATAAGTGACATTTAACAACATCTTATAAATGACAAATTAATTAATTGTTTATGTAAATTTATGAATGAAAATGAGATCAAAATATGACAGTGTTCAATGATGTAAATGAGTACATAATATATTCATATCTGTCTGTATTGTGTATGTCCCCCAACTATTTTTTACACCACTGTATATATATGTAGGATCAGGGTCCGACATTATTTGAAAATAAAACAAAGGGCTTCACACAATCACTTAGTTTATTTCGATTAAATGAACTTACTTTCACATTAATTTTTAATTATAATAATTGAATAATTCAGCACTGATTATATAAAGGAAACACTCAAATAAAACCAACAATAAAATTACTCAGCGATTGCGTAACGTGTGAACTGGGCAACGATCGACGAACGACTGACTCGAGCTTGCGCTTGCGCTGCTTTATATATCACTCGGTGGTGGGGTTGAAGTGACGTCGGTCAGTTGTTTGTTCACTGCTCGCCCATTACATTCGCAGTTTACAAAATAATGACGGCGGCGCCGACACGGCCATACTGACGTACGCTCGTCCTCGAGCGTTTTCCGAGCATCTGGGAATAAGATAACAACCCGTTCGATCATCCTGGCATTTCTAATCTCTATCTAGTATAACCTTTAACAAAAGCTTTCAATATTGTGCGGGTTCGGTTAACCCTTCAGCTTACCACAACTACTACGTTATCATCACTCATCAGTATTAGAACTGGAGACGATTGTGCTAGGCCGGATAAATATCCCTTTAGCGCATGCTAGACTGGACATCAGTCCCTTTAGCGAATGCTAGACTGGACATCAGTCCCTTTAGCGAATGCTAGACTGGACATCAGTCCCTTTAGCGAATGCTAGACTGGACATCAGTCCCTTTAGCGAATGCTAGACTAGACATCAGTCCCTTTAGCGAATGCTAGACTAGACATCAGTCCCTTTAGCGAATGCTAGACTAGACATCAGTCCCTTTAGCGAATGCTAGACTAGACATCAGTCCCTTTAGCGAATGCTAGACTAGACATCAGTCCCTTTAGCGAATGCTAGACTAGACATCAGTCCCTTTAGCGAATGCTAGACT